TCCCCTTAACTAGACTCTGGGCTTCTACCAAGACAACATCGTATCATAACACCCTCATATGACTTTGTTTAGCCAATGTCCATGGTCAATGAATGCCCTCAACATACCAGGAAGAAGACAGCTTGCCCAGACTTAGCCTACAAATACAAACTGCACCCCTAAATTTGTTTCAGCTGCAAGAACAGCACTTGCACACACTTAATACTAAGTCTGTATTTTTGTGCTTGATACCTACGTCCTTTCTTCTTTTTCTTCTTCTTCTTCTTTTTCCCAGTTGCTCCATCTCCTTCACCCTCTCCATCTATAGGAAAGAAAGTGCTCAGCTGAACATAAAATAATCTTAAAAGAACCAAAGTTTGAGCAAAACACAAAAACATCTGGACTATCTGGAAACAAATGGATTAAAAGACAACATCCAGAAGCTGCCACCAAAACCATCAGCATTTTCAGTCCCTACACCAAACACAGACCTAAGAAAAGAGTTCTGAAAGTTGACAACAAACATATCACCAAACAAAAAAGAGAGCTCAGGTAAAGTGTTTTCATAAAGTCCACCTTCATATTCCTCTGTTCTCAATTCAGGCAAACAGATGCCTGGAATTGTTTAAGGACACGAGAGAACTGTATTAGACACAACAAAAAGCTAGAAACTACTGCTTCCACCCCATCCTCTGATGCCTCAGCTAAAAGAACTGGCTACGTCTGGAAAGGCAAAGACCCCAAGAAGTAAAGATGACAGCACTCTAGGCCAGGGTAAATGTAATCTTGAGATAACAGGGAAGGTCACAAACAACACTGTCAGCAAAAGCACTGAATGTGTGAGACACAAGGTGGTCAAGCACTGGAACAGTTTTCCCAGAGAGGTGGAAGATGCCCCATCCCTGGAAACAGTCAGGGTCAGGCTGAATGGAGTTTTGAGCACCGTGATCTGCCTGAAGATGTCCCAGCTCATGGCAGGGGCTTGGACCAGATGACCTTTAAAGGTCCCTTCCAACCCAAAACATTCTATGAATCTGTACCAGTGGGAGGTTTCCAGGGAGCAAAGCAGGTAAGCACCAAGAATCAGCCACACCACTTACAGTCACATCTGGGAGGTAACAACAACCCTGCAGACTTCACATTTGGCTACATCAAATCCCCACGTACTCCATACTCAGGATTTCAGGTGCTATCAGCTACCTAAACCTTCTGATCCTAAACACAAATTCTTCTCAAAGTAGAAAAGTACTACTCATCTACATATAGAACATTTTCAACTACAGCAAGAAGTAAAATGAAAAGAACTTCTAGAATCAAGTCAAAGCATTCCATTTTTAGTGTATTTATCCAGAAGCTTGCATTTAAAAACCAAACCAAAACACTGACCAGCTGCTCCAGTCACTAGATTTCAAGCCTCTCACGATGGTCAATATAATCACAAATTTTATGCCACGATGAGTGCTGTAATTCTGCAGCTGGGGCAAATTTCAGTAGTGTCATTTCTGCCCCTCCCCAGCTCATTTTGGCATTAAGTATCTTAAGTTTCTGTAAAAAATGCAAATATAAATACTTTGTATCTATAATATAGTCCCAACCTACCAGATTCTTCATTAATCTGTATTTCATAGGCAACCAAAAATCCTTACCAGCGCATATAAATTTCTTTAAAATGTGATACCTTCGTCACATTTGTCTTGACCTTGAGCACTGCCCAAACCATTCATAAAGAAATTAATTAGACATACTCCAGTTCATTCACCAAGAGATTTCTGGATTATTTTTTTCAAAGGCTAGGCCTAAACTGAAGAGAAAAAACCCCCAGCATTTCTTAAATATCGTTGCTGTTGCTGTCTGGGTATTGTAGCTTTTTCATACATCACTGCACGTGGAACTGCCAGCTGCGAGCCAAACTAACCCTGTCTATGCTTTCATGCCCTTGAAGACTGCTGCAGACTAACTGTGCTGCCAGAAACACAACTACTGCATCTACCAACACTGTTTGTCTTCAAGTTACTTAGCTGCTAAGGCAAAAAACTGTCACCAGAAAAGCAATTTCAGATCTTTGCAAAACAGAAGTCCAACCTTCTATCATTTTGGTATAAGCCATTTAATAACTTAGCACAGTGTCATGCAAAAATGTTACATATCAGCATAATTTAACATGGCAAGGGACATCCAAAGAGCACTTCCTAATCTCTCCTAGAGTTCAAAAGTGATAGTCTCTTTTTTGAGGCCACCCAATTACATGCTTACCAAGAGGAAAAAAAAAGGAAAAAGGGAGTATGTATTTTATTGATTTTACCCTAATGCAGCATGTCTTACAACAACAATTCTAAAACAACACAATTAAGATGGTGAGTAGTGAGATCCAGTACAGGCAAGAACACAGCTGTCTTCAAAACACTCCAATGAGTTATAATTTTTCTGCAAAAGTATCCGTTTTACAAAAAACACATCCAAGTCTAATATGTGAAAAAAAAAAGATTATTAATTCAATCATAGCATTCATTGTTTTATGCTTTCTAATACTGTAATACAATTACTAATACTGTAAAAAGGACAAGAGAACACAGCAATTGATCTGCAACTATCATTGTTACTTCTCCTGAGATAGAACTCTAACTATTCTAATATTCAAATATATATTCAAAGATTTCTTTCCTTGGTATACAGTTTTCACTACCCTCAGCAACACTTCTGCCCGAAGTTGCAATGATGGCAAAGCACATATTGCATTAATTTTAACTCCACAACATGACAGACACCATAAAGCAAACCACAAGAATACACTTCTATGCAAAGTACCTGCATTAAACTCGATGCTGCAGATTGGTAATGGTCAAAGTTAAATTTGTTACTTAATACATCTCGGCACTCTGACTTCATTTTTTAAAACTTCCATACCCAACTCATTAAAATTACATTCCAGAAGGACAAATTCCAGCAAGTGGACTAAGAAGATTTCTAAGCAGACTGCTCAAAGTGTTGAGCCAACTTTACATGCTAATTCAGAAAAATGAAACTGAATTACCACTTTAAGAAATGTGTTTTCTTAAACATCCATTTCTGTTGAGAATCATCCATCAAACCAAAGGAAATACAGCACCTTTACTGGATCTTCCTACAGAAAAGATGGACTTGGTCTGGATTTCAATACAGCCACTTTCAAGGTTCTGGCTTAGAAAATCAGCCACATAGCACAAGCAACATACAAAGTGTGTGTCTTGCTTATGTATTAATCTCCCCCCAATTCAATATTAATGAAAAATTATAATTACAGACGAGCAAGTTTCAAGTTACTGGTAAAGACTGTAAAACCCATTAATTAAAATGCTCCCCTAAAATTTTCTCTATATGTTTTAAGCCAAGAATAAGAGACAGATATTTGGAACATAAACATGTACTGGCCATGGTAAAGCAAGTGAGAATGATTTATAGCTTATGTTATCCCAAACTAAACATTCCCCTTCAGTAAGTAGATCCTTGAAAACACAAACCTTTAACAAAGCCTGTATTGCTGTTATTTGTATATGTACACCTGTGTGACAGCAAAATCATTGACAAAAGAGTAGAATCCATAGATAGTTGCATCTCACCTCTCCAAAAAGAAACCCAACCAAAATCAAACCAAGACATCTGTAAACAGTCTGTTAAAAGGGAGCCTCGGAAGAAGCTGAAACTGGAAACGTTAAGAGAAAATGTAATTTATACTTGCCATCATCATCATCATCTTTTTCTTTCTCCTCTAGGGCTTGCTTGTCCAATTGTTTTGCTACATCATCAAGAGCACCTTCCATTTCTTTATCGTTTTCTTGTCCTGTTTGTAAAGTTAAAGTACGACTTACTGTAAAACATTAGCTCCACGTTAGTAAACAACAGCCCCCAAAGCTTTATAAAAACATTATGCTGTACTCACCCTACAGACACCTGAGCACCTAATGCCTTTTTCTGTTTTAAAGCAGCCCCAAAGTGTAAGGCTGTATAGGACAGTACAGTGACAGGTGCTATTAATGAAACCTGCATATAAAGGTAGATTAGCCCGACACTGCTGATGCCTTTTTTTCTGCCAGGTAACTAATTCTTCTTCCCATAGCAGCAGCCTGCTCTTGTGAGATAATATGGGCGTGAAGCAGTTAATTATAAACGCACAGCACGATCACGGCTAACCGATGGCCTGCTAAAACAAACCCAAAGCATCGCGCCTTTACGCTATTTGCCCAGACTTGCTCCAGCTCTCTCCGACACCTTGGGAGGGGTGCAGAGCCTCCATCAGGCGGGATGACTTTTACAGCGGCAGTCTTACACCTATCGCCCCTCGGGGCATAGGAGAGGATGAGGGAAGCGGTGGCTTCTCTTGCTCACACCGGAGCGGGGAGGACACGCCGGCCCCAGCCGAACGGCAGCAGCATCCTCCGGGCACCGCCAGCCCCCTCCGAGCCGCGGGGATCCCCCCTCAGCCCACACCGCTGCCAGGGGCCGGGACGGCGGCCTCGGCGGCGCCCCGCACCCGCACGCCGGGACCCCTGAGCCACCCGCGCCGCCCACCGCCGCGCCCGCTCCCCGGTGTGCCGGCCCGAGGCCCTCACGCCGCCCGGCCCGTCAGCGCAGGGACGCGGCGCGGCCCGGCCCCTACCCGCGGGGCCCGCTCTGCCCTTCTTCTTCTTCTTGCGCTTCTTCTTGGCGCCATCCTCGGCGCCGAGCCCGGCCGCGCCGTCCCTGTCCTCGGGCTCGGGGGGCAGCTCGCCGTTCAGGTGCTGCTCCCGCTCCTCCGCCCGCCCCACGCCCGCCATGTCGCCGCGGCCGCGCCGCCTCGCGCGCACGGAGCGAGCCGGGGAGAGCGGCGGGGCCGGCGCCACGCTCTGTGGTGCGCGCGGGGCACGCCGGGACGGTGGAGGACTCCGCCGGGAGGGCGGGAGGGGGCGGGCCCTCAGCTCCGCCGGGAGGGGGCGGGCCCTCAGCCGCGCACGCGCGCCGCCGGCGGTGTGCGCGCGCGGGCCCGTGGGGGGGGCGGTGGGGGCGGAGCTAGGGCCGCTCCCGGCTGCGCGGAGCGATAAAAAATGGAAAGAAGAATTCTTCCAAAAACAACCCTTTGCCTCAAAAAGAACAGCTGCTGCGTTCCCTTACAAGCACGTAAGATTGCTAGGGTTTTACCGTTTGAGGGTAGTGAGGAAACGTAACTAACACGAGAGATAACTAGTGTACGGAAAGAAAATAATACAAGGGGGGGGAAAAATCACTTGTTCCAAGTCACATAGAGCAAAAAAGTGAAGATTCTAATGCATTAAAAAGGATCTTGCCTTTTCCCACTTCTACTACTCTGTAGAAAACCAAGGCAAAATACCAAATTTGCCAGCATCCACTAATGAAGTATTAAATCAGCCCAATCCTTAAAATTCATTTACTGAGTTTATACTTTTCACAGGTTTTCTACTAGTATACCCGTGCTGGCTGAAAAATACTTTTCCTCCTTGCCATACTTGAACATACCATGGTATAATATAGTGCCATTATAATTTATAACATATAAAGGTTTAAAACAGGCCTTGTGTTGCATAGCTATGTTTTAAAATGCTTCTGCAGGCAGGCCTTTGCTTGGGGAAACTGGTCATGCCTGCTTCCTCACTGGGGCACAAATTCTGCCCCCTTGGCCCCACCGAGGCTGGCTGGTTCCATCTGCCCCGTCCCATGGGCATCTCCTCACTCCTGACCTGGTACAATTCCCAGCAAGAACACCACTCAGAAGGACTAAGCTAATGTTCTAGTACTGATCAAAGTCCATCCTACTCCAGGCAAGTGCTCTCACACTGACAATGGATGACACAAAAGCGTGTGCACTAGCGCTGCCTAGAACACTCTGGATTTATTGCTTTCCATTCTAGTTTTCTAATTAGGTAGAAGCAGAATCTACAGAGCTGGTTTGGTTTTACTGTGGATGGTGGCAGGAGAAAGGGGGAGCATCAATGATCAAATTCCCTGAATTCTCCATTTTGAGTCATCTTACATCTTCCTGTTGTGCTTTTATTGTAGTTGGGCACTGTAATGGTTTCAGGATATCTGACAGCAGTGATTTTGTGGTTTGCTTTAATCCATTAGTCTCTCATACATCAGACTGCTCTACCCCTCGCTCTAACCCCTGTAGTGCCTTTGAAAGCTTGAAAAAGAGTGATTGTGCTCCATCCGATCTGGTGTGTGCCAAAACAGGTTGCCAGGCCATGGATTTTGTTGACTCTAGAAGTGAAGTGACAGATAAAGGAGACCATAAAGTCTACAGAAGCCCAGGGAAGACAGAAGGAAAGATTTTGGCCAGAGATAGATAAAATAAGAATACATCTCCTGCAGAAGCTGCAAACATGAGATCTGGAAATGCATCAGAGAAAAAAAAAAAAATGAAAAGCAGAATAAATGTTTCTGTGGTCAGCTGAACTAACAAAGGCAGTTTTCTCAGAGCATTGTTCCTTTCCTCCCCAGAATGACTCTGGCACCATTCATAGTCACCGTGATACCCCAACAGAGAGGGAGAGATGGCTTGTGCCACACGGTTCAGCAGTTTGGCCTGTCTCTGTTTAGGGGCAACATTTCTTTGAGCTGCTATTGTCTACTCAGCTGATGATTTTAGAAGGTGTGTCCTGGTGTCATTATGTTTGGGTGTGTTATTCCACCAATTTTGTCTGAAAATGAACCTTCACATAAATCTCCTTTCTTTAAAAAAGTAGGCTGAAAATAAATTTTAAAATAGTGTCATACTTAACATAGAATATAATAAAACCCAGGAGAGAGAAAGCAAACTGTGAGTGAGCTAGAAGAAGCAGGATTAACCGAGTGTCTCTGCAGGTTGAGATGGTGTTATTGGACCCAGGCTGTGTTCATCAGGCTCTCAGGGAAGAGGGCACATTGGACAAAGCAAAGTTAAGCATTTTCCAGGTTATGCTACTTCCAGACCCAGAATTAGCACCATATATAAGAGAATACGGATAACTAAGAGGGGAATAGCATAATAACCAATGTGCAAAAATAGGAATGCTGTATAAAAAAATTTGCAAAGTGGGAGTAAGAAGCCGGCCTGACTGCACTGACAAAGCAAACATTAACGTGAACAGGCCAACAACTGGTTCCACGTTCCCCATCTGGCTGCTTTTAAGAGGAACCAAGCTCTTGGATGCAGGGAGTGAGACACACCTTGTAGAATGCCCTTACCAGCTCAGAGTTTTTTGTCCTTCCTCTATTATTGCCAGTCAGCTGTTCCTATACACATTATATTAATGGATGCTATTTTTCCCAATTGCATGCTGTACTAGACAGCATGATAAGGTGAAAGTACCGGCCAGGCCGTAGGCCAGGAGAGACCTGTGAGTACTGCTTTTAGCTGGAGGTTTTTGTTTTCTCACTCTTTGTTTTTCTTAACCAACCTCCCAAACAAAGGCAGGCAGTGGCTGGGGAATTAAGGGAAGGGCTGAATGCAGTCCAAAACATTCAGCAGGATTTGAAACACTTTCCTGAAAGGCAACACAAAGAGTCACCTCCTCTTATTTTTCTTCTAAGGAGTCAGCTCCAATTGCGCTATTTTCCAAGCAAAGTTATGATCTTCAGAAAAAGACTTTTTGTTTTAGGGCATGTTGTGTTTTCTTTCGTGTTTTGTTTTCAAATTGTATGTAAGTGTCAAGAAATGGCATGGAATGGAGTGGGAGAGCTGTCTCTGACAGCTGTGGTTTAATCCTGGAAAGAGGGTGTGCAAGGACAACTAGGGAGTAAGTGGCCTATGTCAGCCCCCAGAAGAGTTGAACAGCGGGATGTTATGTTTGTTTCTGTTTGTATTTCTGGGACTGATGCCATTATTTATGTGTTTATGACACTTTAATACTCTTTTTCCTAGCTGAGGGCCAAAACTCATAGTCCTTACTCAGCTGTAAAAATTCACTGAAGTCAGTGGGAAAATTTTTATGACTAGAGGTTTAATATTAGGCCTAAATCCTGGAAGTAGAAAGGAAAATGTTTCCTGCATAAGAGCAAATAGTCTTATGGACTCTAGAAGGAAAGATATTCCTTGTGACCCATTGCTAAAGACAAAGGATTCTTGTACTTACTCAGCCATCTCTAAAATTTTCTTATGACCTAGATGAAGTAGTGAGATAACATGGCAAAACCAGACAAAAAATTCACATTTAACTCTGTTCACTGTGGTCTTTTTCCACATTCCTTAGTGACTGTTTTTTTTTTTTTTTTTTTTCTTTTTGCTGAACATCAGTTAGATTACAGCCTGTCAGCTGTAATCCAAACGTACTGCCTTGCCTCAGCTGGTGTCCCAGCATCTGTGTCCCTTGGAGGACAGGTTTCAAGGGATGTATGAGTGCTTCTGAAAAGAAACAAATTTCACCTCTCTGAGTGGTGAAAGTCACTGTGAGAAGCACAATCTGCTGTGTGTACTCAGACTGGGACAAAGCAATTTTTTCTCAGTTTGCATCAATAGCTGCATGCTGTGAAATATGAAAGTAAGTCAGCTTATGGCCTTCTTTAGAGCTTACTTTAAAAACTGCTTTTAAACTAGAAGATTCATGTGAACAAAACAAGTCAGTGTCTCAGGAAGCCTCCTTAAATGTCTGTGACAAGGAGCTATAGCATTAGGCAGGTATGCAGAAGCATACATTAGGACATGCTGCAGTGAGCGTTTCCCTGACAGCACATCTCTGTGCCTGTGCCTACTCTTGGTAAGGGATGAAAGGCTACAGAGAGCTGAGACCCCAGACTATTCTTTTTAAATAATTTTTTTTTGGTATTTATGATGGAGTCATAAAAATTATTTTTTATAATAGAAACATCTTTCTTGATGTACTCACTCAGCCAAAACTGCAGAAGCAGTCTTCTTTTTCAGATAACAAACTGAGACATGTATAGCCTCAGAAATAATTGTAGGCCATATCTCCTGAAAACCCTAGTTTGTAGTGGTAAGAGACTAAATTATCAGAAAGTTATATTTTGAACTTGATATTTGTAATCAATTTTATATAATTTAATACACTGATATATTCATGTATACCCATTCACACAGTGAAGGTTCTTTTCTTATCGGAAGAAAATTTTCAAGACCTCACACAGAAAGTAATTTAGCGTGAAAAGCACTAACAATTTCCTTTCCACACCCTGCTGACCTAGCAGCTTTCCTTGGGGTTGCTCCACCCCTTCTTCATTCTGGGGAGTAATGGAAGTAATGTTTACAGCTGCAGTGCTGGAGGCAGTACCTGTATATTTCTTTTACCACGTATTTTCTTTTATGTCCAGAATAGTCTTCTATTTCACCTTCACACCTCCTCCAGTCTTAAACTGGAAACAGTCATTCATTTTTCATTTTGTAGATGAAAACTAGAGTGAAAGAGAAAGGCACGAAACCAGAACTGTTCTTGTATTTTACTGTAGATCTTCCCCCTGGCTTTACTGCTAAGTAATGGTGGGAGCAAGGAAGTTTCTGTCAACTGCTTTCTCAAGGAAAGCACGAAAATTACCCCCAAGGTAGATGTGGCCAGGACAGAGCAGGAGACACAGGGGCAGCACGGGGCTGGAACTGGCACTCTGCCATGCAGTGTGAGCAGAGAGAGGGAAGTGGGAAGGTGGCAGTGTCCTACATCTAACCCTACCTCCTTGAGCTATGATACCTAATGTTCATTTCTGCTGTCAGCATTTCAGGAGTTTAATATATTCAACTTAAAAACTTTAAACAGTTTGTTACATAATGCCACAGAATAGCTTTATCCTGCTGTTTTGGCTTGGACTGAACAATAGCATATTGCTGGGTGAAGAGCTCTGTGGATTTCATGAAATTCATGTCTTCTGACTAATGTAGTGGGAGCCAGTGTTCACAGCATTCCTCTGGGGTGTCACTCCCCAGGATAACTGGGTTTTAAGTTCAGATCTCATCACATTTGCTTTAAACTGATATGTTTGTTCCAAGGACAAACCTTGTTTTGCTGAACTTGCTTTGGAATTTCAGAAATTTACTCCAGATTGTTTCAGTTTATGAACTTATTTGTATGCATTCAGAGAGTGAAAGAAGCTACCATTGAAACTGGAAAGGGTAACTGTGTGGTTACAGCTTGTTTGTGTTTGGAGGATTGAAGACTAAGACTTCTCTTGGTAGACTTTCTTTTATTTTAGATTTTAAAACTGAAAAAAATTGTTACGAAATTTTCCACATTGGCAGGCCTCTAATTATAATAAATATGGCCCTCTCAAAACCATAGAAAATCACAGTTTCCAAAAACCCATCAGAAAATAGGATAGATGGAGTCAGTAGCTACTGGAGAAAATGTTTTTAGACACTCAAAGTTTTATTACATTGAAAAGTTCTTTGCATGTGAGATCTAAGAAAGGAAAATTTTGGATTTGTTTTGATTTTTTGTTTGATTATCATTCTCTGGAGCAAGAGTAAATAATTTTACACGGGAGAGGAAAAGTCAATAACCATGTTAAATTACATGGCACTGCACTTCAGCAGGGATCCTGGTTTGGCAGTGGCTGCACTAAATCTCCTCATGCTGCTGTGCACAGGTGTTTCTAACCTTGCTCTAGGAGTGTCTTCCTTGGGAGGAAATGTGGCTCAGTCTCAGCTGTGCAGGGGCACACTGCCAGCCTGTTCAGATATGATTGTGGCAGCAAAGATAACCAGTTTGTTTTCTGGGGTTTTCAACTGGTACTAGTCTCACTGAGTAATACAGCTGTTTTTTTCTCCTCAGCCCAACTCAAGGCAGGAGTGTGGTCTGTACAGAGAGGCATACCAAAAGGCATGAAGATGCTTTCTTAAAGAGTGCTACAACAAGAAAAGAAAAATATCCAGTTTTATGATGTGTCCCTGTGTAAAACCATTATGAAGGGCTCAAACCCAAGGATCTGCCCAACATCTTTGATCCTTCAGGCAGATGAGAGCTCACCACTGAACATATTGAGTAAGTCCATGGCTGCCAGCATATTGCAGGAACTTGGACAGAAATTGCAGCTCCTTGCTGGGTATGAGACTGGTGACATGCTAACCTGTTGCTGGAGAGAGCTCAGTGAGGGGATTGATTAACATAATTAGCCCCAGAAGTCACTAGTGTACAAAAGTGTGGGAACCAGGTGAAGTCAAGTCTCAGAGGAGGTTGAAAGTGGTGCTCTTGAATCCAAATGTACAGAGTGTGCCTTCTGAGGAGAACAATGCAAGAAAAGCTTTGCTTTGCTTTACCAGCCTGCACTACAAAGGAAAAAAGAAAACCTGAGACGGCACCAAACATGTCTCTCGGAAGTAAAGGTAAGGTCGTGCTGTGTAAATGTGCTGTGTTGTAATGTTTGGCCTCCAAAGGGTAGAAAGCACTTTCTGTTAAGTCTATACTCTCAGCTAGTTGCTTAATCCAACATGCTCCACTTTATAGCTTGTTATACTGCAGTTCTCTGCATAGCAGTGTTTTAGGACATGATGAAATAACTTTGCAGCTGAAGCAAGCGGTACAAACACTCAGAAGAACAAAGCCAGTGAAACTGGGCAATGTTTCAAACCATTTATCAAAGCATTTTTAGTCTCCTCTTTCAAGGTGAGTGATAGAGTCATAACATATTGCGCCAGCAAAAATATTTGCATCCAGAGCATTTCATTCAGCAAGTGTAAGTAATCCTCAGTGCAGAACCACAGGCTGGGGTCAAGCCCATTCTAGCTCTCTAGGTGCTACGGTAGTCTTCCTCTCTGTTTTAATACAAAAAAAAAAAAAAAAAAAAAAAAAACAACACCTTTGGGTTTATGTTTTTGAAAGCAGACTCGCCCTTCAATATATGATCCTAAGCACTGCAATCTGTTTTCTTCCCATCTAGCTCCTGCTGTGCAAACTGATGCCAGTCAGACACCCATCACAATCAGCTTCTCACTCTCATCCAAGATCTGTGAAGAAAGAGGTAAGAGTTATATGGCTCTTAGCAGTGGTGGTTAGAATTATGCAATACCTGAATAGCTATTCTGAATGTCTGATGTAACTGAAGTATGGATTAGCATAAGGGAGAAATTGTCAAACAACAATTCTCCTTGAGTGTTGGATATAATTTTTTTTAAATATCCAGTCTTTCTCTGATTATCTCTGATCATGTGCCAGCAAGGTTTTCTACAGAGCCACTGCAGATCCACTAGTCTTTGTTAGTAGAATACAGGGTGACTAACTGCTTTCAGATAGTATATTAAGCCTTTTCCTACTGGAAACCATCTGATCACATATATTTGACATAATTCTACTTTTCCTCTGAATGGGAGAACTAATGGACTAACTAAAAAGTTCTTCACAAGGCATTATATCTTAGTTTAGTTCTGCCTAAAACATGGACAGATTTGGTGATCTGAAGGGAAAAACTGCTTACTCTGCACTGATCTTTTGATTTCTTTAAGGACTTTGCCATGTTAAAAAAAAAAAAAAAGGCATTTGTTTATTTTCTTCCTAATGCTGGCCATGAAGTTGATCAGGTGCCACTGGGGCTGTAGAGCTGAAATTCCTTGGCTGGTGAAGGTTAAAAGTGCTGCAGAGACATCCAGCATCCACGCATGGAGGATCAGCTCCATAACCAAATAAATGGGCACTGAACGAATGATACCATTTCTTCTGTTGTTTTCTGAAAATGTGGCATCCAACTTTTTCTGCCTGTAACAAATAGTTTCTGAAATGCTTTGGTGTAGAGTTGCATGCTCTTGGTGTCTCTGTCTTGAGCTATTAAGTTTGTAAAAGTATTGATTCCACTCTTAGCTCTTGTGCTCACAGGCAGCCTCTTACTCTTCTGTGTCAGCAATCTCAAGATTGTGCACACTTCTTTCCAGCACTCTGCCAGTGCATCTGCAAGTGCACTGTATAGTCTGGCAGCTGTTGGAGTTTTCTTAGTCCCAGATGAACACCTAAAGGTTTGAGACAGCAGCTTCCATTAACCTGTCCATACCCTTTCCTGTCTCTTGGGAGCTCCCATTTGCTTGGTCTGTCATCACAGGCTTATTTTCTTGATTTTGTAAAGGGAATGACCAGCAGCAGGTCATGGATTTCTGTGTCTACAATTCTTACCCACTAAGTTCTTGTTTCTGAATAATCTATTAAATAAAATATACCTGCCATAGTGCAGCTGCAGCCACAGTTGTCTTATAGGACAGGCTCTAGACCTCTTCGTGCTGCTTATATTTAAGCCTTCTATCATAGCACGAGATAGCCTTAACACCCTGGAGGATCCCCATACAGAACTGGCCAAGTGTTTAAAATGTATGGTAGCTTCCAAATACATCATCCATTCTCTGATTACCAACTAGAGTGCTTAAATAGTAGAAAGGAATGGAGGAGGTATCAGGATAGTTAAGATTTACATTGCCTGATCAATTCTCCAAGGAACAAACATTGAAATTTATAAAGCAGGCTTGGTTTAAATGAAAAAAATCTTTGCTGATAAGTAATTGTAAGTATTAATTACTTACAGGTTATTAAAGTTAACTTGTATAATTTTGTATCTGCAGCACAGTTCCTGAATTTCTATTGTTATATCTTGCTATTTAACTGACAGTTCCTGTACACTGGCAAAATTATAAACATATTCAGATTTAATCTTACGTGTAAAATCATAATTCATAATAATAGGTTTAGTAGCAAGTGGCTGTATAAAATCAAGCAGTTTTCCATGCGTGAAGTTTATATGCTACAATGTATTGTATAATATAGTACACTGGCATATTATTCCTCATGAAATGGGTTATTATCAGTGCTTCACTCCTTGGGGAACTGAGTAGTCCGAAGTCCAAAAGATTAGATGCTGCAGCAAAATATGGAGTTCACATTTTTTGGCTGGCTTCTGTATATCACTTTCCAATTGCTATGTAATGTGTTTGCAAAGCCAAGAAAAAGAAGAGCAACAAAAAAACTTACTGTTTGGAGCTTCCACAGGAAACATCATATTTTCTAATTATTTAAATAAGTGCTGTTGTCTTCCCACCTATGAGACATGCCATGTCTTAGAATTGCCTGTTTTAGAGAACTCTCTGAAATGTATCTGTCATAGCATTGCCTGTTCTAAAGAGCTCTCTGAAATGTATCTGTCATTTACCCTCATGGAATCTGGATCCTGGCCTGCAATTGTTAGAAGAAGAGCACAGAGCTCATCCAAACACTGAGAATACCTGAGACTGTCTGTGGTGCAACTGCTCTGGGGTCTTCCATATCACCATGTTCCCCAAAGCTCTGCAGTCAGCTGCTTTAATCATCTAGTTGAAGATAACTTATATGGCACAAATAGATCATGAGCAAAGTGTTCCCTTTCATAGGACCTGAGCATGTTTGCAAGGATTTGCAGGCCCTGTTGACCCATCAGGTTGGAAGTAAAATGCTGCTTCTGATAGTGCTGTATGCTGATGCTGTCCTGTGTTAGTGCCATGAGAGTTGGCTTAATGTTCTTAAATATTTATGCTTAGCCTGGTCAGCAAAAAGTTATACTGAGCAATATTTTATGGCAAAATTGGAACAGCAAGTAAGATTGGCTTGAAAAAATAACATCGCTTTGATTTTTATCAGCTGATGTTTTACCTAATTAGCTTACTTCAAAATTGATCAACTCCTGTGCTCATTTTTTCCTTTAGTGGTTTTGTTTCTCTGATACTACTATGATGACCTGCACATTTTTATAACTGCTTCAGGACTAACAGATAAAAGTACCAGAGGCATGTGCCCATATATACATGTAGAACAGTGCACATAGAGTGATTGAAAAAGATGTCAGCCAAAGGCAGGACTAAATACATGCCTCCTAGGTTTGGGTTATTTTAGCCAGCCTCAAACTCTCTCTACTTCCTTCTCAAGATCAGTCATGGTACTGAAATAGATACAAATTTGGCCGTTAGATAAAGAAATTTTTAAGTATATAAATCATTGTTCTTTCTCAGAAGGATGAAGTAAGCAATAGCAATGAAGAGCTGCACAACAGGTATATGGAATACAAGATGGTGAACATGAAGTAAAAAATCCGATAGATTTTCAAAGTTGGCTGCTTCTCACATCAAAGGATCTCTGCCATGTGCATGTGTAGGTCAGTGTGGTCATTTCTGGTGCCAGCTTAACCACAGGCAACTTACGTGATCTTGGACATCTTACTAGATCCCCTTCTGTCTGAGACTAATGTATTGAATACATTAGTCATTACATTACATTACATTACATTACAATGTTTGTAAACATTGATGGTAAATAAAAAATATTTACCATCAATGTTTACAAAGCTCCTCAGGATTCTCACGTGAAACACAATTTAAAAGATTGCAAAATCATATAATTCCCTGTAGAGAGATCTTAAGGAAAGGTAATTATGAAACAAAACAGAAATCTGCCACTTAAGGCTGATACTGCTTGTGGAGGGAATTGGGAGATCAGCAAATTGTGATTAGTCAAGTGGGTGGATTTTGTTCTGAGGGCTCTGCTCATCTTCCATTTCTCCCAACCTGCTTGTTCAAGGAAGAACATGACTGGGTTAGTGGCTTCACTTTTCTATATGCAACTGGACCCAATACCCAGGATACAGAGCTGATAGAGAGTCTTAGCTCCTGTGTTCTCTGCAGAGGCATGTAACAGAAGCCATAAAACTGGAGAATAATAACTCCTTGACTCTCATTTTAGCTGTCCTCTGAGCATCTTGCTATTTGTCAAAGCTCTGTAAACTCCCATGGGGTGTTTCTATACCAGCATATTTAGCCCTTATCCAGGTCTCATTATAATTGGAACTTGCACCTCTTTTGGACACGGCAGCATCTGCCTTCCTAGCAGGCAGGGAGGTGCACTATGAGCACTTCCTTGAAGCTGCAAATTAGTGCAGAGAGCATGAAACTATACAAGGACATGAACAATGTGAACAATAATGGACATGAGATAGGTGATATGTTGTGCAACCTAACTTTTTTTCTGCAGACTGGAGTCATATCTTAGTTGAGTGTCTAACAATGGGCTGTGTTTATTTAGGTTGATTGTTTTTCATCTACCCTCTTCACTCAAAACCATAAAACTGGGCACAGTCTTTGATGGCCAGAATTTTGCTCAAACAGATGAATAGTCTATGGAGAGTTTGGCATTGTAGAATCTTGACTTGGGAAGAGGAAAAACACCACTTCTATCTTGTGTGCAAGTCAGATGGAGATGAAGGACCATGGAGAAGAAACAAGGAGGTGAAGGACCTTGTCCCCTCTACAAGTCTCTTCTACTAGTCAAATGCAGACCCAAAGCTCTATGTTGTCTAAATTGCTAAGCTAGATGGAAATCACTTTGAAAATTGAACTTCCCGTTTGTTGTAAGGACAGGATGCACTTTGGCTTACTAGAAAATTTAAATATGCAAAGGAGACCAGCAGACAATTGGGAGCCAGCCTTCTGGGTGCCTGGAATATGTGTCATGAGCTGCAGATGGATATTTCATAGGGGCAAATTGCAGGACACTTTTGTCTCCTTCACCACTTCCTAGTGCCTTATGATGCAGTGAGGCACAATGCATTATACAGGTCATAAAAGAGCTGATGAAATGCTATTTGTTCTATGGATTCTTCAATCATAATTATGATTTTTCATATTAAAAATAATTGGCATAACTTAATGGAGAAAGTGAGGCTACTGACCTAACCCTGAAAAGTTTACATGCAGCAAGGAGCTGACATTTGTGGGTGACCACCACCAAATACCTGTAGTTGTTTGGCTCCTTTAGTTAAATGCATCTGACTACTCTAGTTAAATGCATCTGACCTCTTCCAGCTCTTTTTTCTAGTCTGTTTTTAATAAGGATACAAATTAAGGTTGTAATTGTCTTTTGGAGATCTTAGTAGATACTTGTTTTAAGAAAAGCCGTTTAAAAAGTGTTGCTCATGGTTTTATATTTTCATTTTGGTTCTATTTCTTTCACTGGCTTTCATTCATTCTCCTAGGTTTGTGTTATGCCATCTTGTTAAAACGGTTGCAAGGATTTGTTTGGATGCTTATCCTTCTATAGAGCTTTCTTCATTTTAAGGGTGGGTCTCGTATCTAAAGGGGTCTGTTTTTAAACTGCAGGATGAACACTGATATTTTTTATATCCTCTGTGTCAATTTCAAATGGAGCTGTAAAAACAGATGCCTTCTTGTGGGAAAGCAAGCACACAGGTGATTTCTTCTGAAAATTCAGGCCCACCAGACCTTCTAAATTGAACATCAGCATTTTTCTTCTGGATAATGTAATCAGCATCCATATTGTTCTTAATAAATATTAAATATAGAGACATAAAAATGTTCCTGAAACAGCCAGCTGAGGGCTCACACATGCGTGACATCTACATGCTATTTGACCTTATTTTTTCTCCCTTTAAATTTTACAATAGATTTTTAAGTGTTTTAGAACTCCTAGGAATTTACTAGAATTGGAAATGGCATTAATATCACAGCATTTAACCACAGTTCATTTTTAATATGAATTACTAAACCAAGAATTTAACCCAACTCTAGTCTGTATCACAGGGATAAAATTGATACCTTCCTCCCAGGCCTGTACCATGAGAAAAGTCAGATGAAGGAGCAGATATGAGAAGTGGCTCTTTAATTAAGGACTTGTAGATCAAAGAGAGCTTCTTGGATTTTGTGGCTTCAGTGAGATACACCAGGAAAAACAGGTTTTGTATTTCTGCTTGCTTACAGCAGCAGCGTAACAGTGATGCTTAATCAGGAAAGAGGTCTGGTGACTAATATAAATGAATGGTCAGAGAATGGAAATGGCCTTGGGATGGCAGGCATGTCCAGCCAGGTATAGCACAGGTAAGATTTATTGCTTTACTTTTCTTGCTGTTCTTAATTTTTTTTTCTTTTGTTTTTGTTTTCAATTTCACATCTTCTGTCCTCTCTAAGGTGTCTTAATTGCAGGGAACACGATGCTTGTATTTCTTTAGCACATCATAGAACCAGAGAATTGTTTGGGTCAGAAGCAACTTTAAAAATCGAATTCCAACCCTCCTGCCATGGGCAGGGACACCTTTCACTAGACCAGGTTGCTTAGGGCCCCATCCAGCCCGGTCTTGGACACTTCCAGGAATGGGACATCCACAACTTCACTTGTCAGCCTGTTCTTTACAAAGAACATCTCTCCTGACAGCACATACATGAGTGGGTATCTTTATTTCTGTTTTACTCAAGTAGCATCTTGTCAAGAAGAAGGAAAAGCAAATTGCCTGGAACTGTTTTAATTCAGGATTTCAAGAGAGGTCCATCCTCCCAGCTGAAAGCATCTTGTAAATGTCTTTTCTGAGCTTGGGAAAATGAACAAGGAAAATGAACCATTCCTCATTTTGCTTTTGGGCATATTCACTAGCAGGCAGTTGTTTGCCTTACTTCAGGCCTCATCCATTTTCCACAGAAGTCTGTGCAAAGGCTCTCACTGCTTTTTAGTTACGAGAACTGGTCCTAACGTGCTGCAAGAATTCCAGAAACAGAGGTAGAACATTTGTGACCCCGGTCAGTAAGTGTGCCTTCAGGCATGGAGTTTGTAAACAAACCCATTATTTACCAGGGTTGGATCAGTGATTTTTTAAATTCCTACTATCCACTACAGAGCTACTGGCACCCTGCCTAGCAGTTTATACAAGGCCTACATAAGGCCCTATCAGAATGACAGGTCTCCAAACCTCTACCCAATTCTTTACTTGGCTCATATTACCAGGCTGGCAGCTGATACAAAGGAATAATTTCAAATACATGGTAATAAAATTCTGAAGAGCTGCCATGACTGTTTCATATAGGCAAATATTCTTACTTGGACTTGTTGTCCAAGTTTGGGTTGTTTTTTTTTTTCTGTAAACTGACTTTTGTTTATTCTGTAAAATCTGCAGGGATATTCAAATCTTCATGATACTCCAAAATACTATGCTGCATCTACAGTTTTGGTTTTTACTAAGTCTGCAAAATTGAAGGCATGTAATTATTGAAAGGGTTTGTGTTATCACATACAGATTACAGAATGTTACAGATCATAGAATTTAACAAATATATTAAATTAATTTGATATTTTTAGAAGCCTCATGAAAATGTTAATGAGTCTAGTAAAGCTGTTAGTTTTTGAACATAATATTTGAATGGGTAGGAGTGTCAGAGGCTGGAAAAGGCTGGTGCTAACTGACTTTTGGATTAAATAGCAACAGTTCCAAGACCCCTGCTTGGTGTCACCAGGGCATTTTTTATGATCCATGTGCACAGGCAGTGCTAAAGGCTTTAGTGACCACAATTTTAAGAAAGAACTTTGTATGCAGTAAAGTGTTACTTTTTTACTGGAGTCTAAACACTGTCCAAATCCTTCCCACTGTAGTTAAAGGGAAAGCAAGTACTTGAGCTTCCCAGTTCTGTCCATGTCTGACTCCACAGCCTCGGCCTCTGAAGTGTACCTGGCTTGAGAGGTAGGAGAGGTCAGGTGTTCCTGCTATACAGCACCACCTTCCAAAACATGCACTGTCTCACTACATTTACTTTAGGCAGCAGTCATCAGACAAAGGTCTGGGAGATGTCTCTGTCCACAGTTCTAAAACGACAAGCTAACTTTGCAGGATTTAAATGAGAATGAGAGCACTAAAACTTGTTTGTAGACTTCAGCCTTGAGTAATTGATAATTTCCTCACCTATAACCAACTGTCTCGGGTCACTCTTTGAGACTTCAGTCTGCTTCTTCCATGCAAACATATATATGAAAGCTTATTGGAGTTAGTTAATCCTTTTTGTCCTTTAAAGTTAATGAATTCATCACCATGAGGATTGCAGGGTGCTTTGCAATCAGCTTCTACAAGTAGCAACATGAAGGTGTGCGCTCCTCTCCGGCAGCGCTGCTGGGTGCGGCTCTTCCAGTTTGAAGGGTTGGTGTGGTGTAACTGCTACAGGACTGCATTTTGTGAAGGCCCTTTAAAAACATTATTTTCACTGCAAACTCTGGAATTGATGAGCTTTCCCGTAAATACACCTCCCAGGTTTATTTCCTTTTAGATGTGCTAACTGCCTTGCCACTGACTGATGGAGTTAAGAGCTTCTAGAGATTAAATATAAACTCCTGTGGATTTATGCCACTGTCTACCTACTAAAGGTTTGACCCAAAGACACAGTTATTTTATGTAGTTAGGTTCCTATTCCTACCCTTTTTTCAGTCTAGTTTCCTTGATTATTTAATTATTCTCTAGTCACAATTTTTGGTTAAGTCTTTACCACCCTACATGCAGTGTATTTAGGTGCAGCCAGAACACAGTTGAATATTCTTTTTTCCTCTGAAAGCATGGTTAAAATATTATCTGTAGTTTATCTAGAATTCTCTGATCTGCCAGAGAAAATACTAAGTATACTGACTGCCCATTCAGAGGTAGCTATAATTTATTGTGAAAAATTATAGGAGGTGGGTACTGAATGAAACTTCAAGAAATCCTGATTGATACCTTTCTGGTCTTCACTTTCGTGCAACATGCTGTCTGTCCACTTAGGTTAACTATCGAGCCAAAACTCTACATCTATATGACAAAGGCTGTCTTATAGTTAGATTGAAATGTGCTTTGGTGAAATAGATTTTTTGAGTGATTTGCCTGTCAGGAAAAATATATTACTGGAACAGTTGGAAAAGCAGAAGAAGTCTATGAACCAAGTAAAACAAAAATAGAATTCTGTTTGTTTAGATTTTATTTCCATCTTCCTATTATGCATGAAACCATTTAGCCTAGAAAAGGTAAAAGCATGCACTGGATATAGGAAGCATGTATACATCTTACTAATTTGAAGAGGAATTTTGATTTACTCCTGAACTTCAGGGAAATTCAATTTTTCAGTTATTAAATGACACCTTGTAAGATGTCCACAATGTGTAACTTAGAACACAATTCTTGAAGCTACTACTACTACTAACACCACTATATTTAGCAAAAAAACTCCCAACTTCTCATTTGCACAGCTTTCTGCTTGTATGGGTAAGGAAACAGTATAAATGAGGGAAGATAAATTAGTAAATTAACATATTCAAAATCTAACCTATCTTCTATTTGCTTGGAAACAAAAATTCAAACTATATTTCATAAGCTAAACTTTAGTTTTTTGAAAATGGATATGGAAGGTGATGTTTGCTTACATCATAATATTGTCTGTAGTTGGTGGCATTTTAAATACTTGTAACTGTTATTTTATGATAGATTAGCTGCACACACCAAAAATGCTCTAAACTTTGTGATAAATCAGAATTTGTCTTTGTTCTCTGCCCTTTGTTTCTTATTAATGATATTCCCTTTGAATTTTAAACAGTGGCTCTTACTTATAGTTAGAAAGCCTCTCTCAATTAATATTCTTCTATTCCAAAAATCAAATAATCTTTTTAAAATAGCAATAAAATAGCTCTACAGTTTTTTTTTCAGTTGTCAGCAATCCAAATAGTTAAAGATAATATGCAGCAAGACTTCATAAGCTAGCAAATATTTAATTGCCTTACAATAAAATCAGTGAGTAATCATAACAGGAGTGATAAATATTCTCTTTAAATTTATGCATAGCTGGTGATTGTCTTTCTTCAGGAGGTGGATTCTAAGATTAGTACCTTTGGTTTTGGAGTCCCATTAGTGTCTGCTTCCACATCTGTCTGTGAGGGTTCTGCACCCAAGGACTTTCCCACACTAGACATGGTCATGATTATGAAGAGCTGGGCAGTAGGCAACATAATTCATATCCTGCTCTGGGCTACACCTTTAGATACCAGCTAATCCTTTCAATTCCCGCTGCCCTAAGTAAGCATAGCATAATCAGAGATCATTAAAACCAGATATACTGCCATTAGCTGTCATTTAGTAGTTCTTTGCATCCATATTTTCTACTAGCAGAAAATACTTTTCTTCAAAACTGCTATTATTTGGACAAACTATTGGAAAAAAATTGAAATTTAGAGGAGATTAGAGTTCATTATGAGAAAATTCTTCTGATTCTTGGCTACGTAGCCCTTAAGAATGTTTAGACACAGAATTTTTGTATTAATTTCTTCTAAAAGGATTTATATAAGATGTAATTCACAGATGCAAATCTGAAAAATATTAGTATTTGCAGGATTTAATTACTAGTCACACTGTCACATGGTAGAATCTCTAACATTTTTAGAGAATACAGAATGTTGGGATGCAAACCAAGATTTTGTTAAAGAGAAGCAAAAATTAGTTATACTTTCTGTGATTCTGTAATTGAGTGATTAACGGTCACTATTATCTCTCCATTTTGTATCACAGAGTAGATGAGTTACATTTATAAGTGCAAAAACACTATCAGTTCCCAAATCAAGGCCTACTTTGTCACTGATTTTGGCAGTGGTGGTGTATTTTGGGAATTGGGTGCATACACCTTCAGAAAACGTCTGACCTTCCTCTGCAGCTCTTAAGGAAGGGCATAATTCAGTCTGCAGATGCTCTCTCAATTACCTCAGGTATGCACAGATCACAAGGGAAGAGGAAAGAGAACAAGCTCCCAAGTAAGAAACTCCTCTCCTTATAGATCAGATGTTCCTCCTCACAGCATGTAGTAGGAACCATACTCTTATCCTGTCAGGTGAATGAGTGGGACAAGGAGAAGAGGTAAAATAACTGTTATCTCCCTGGTCACTAACTGACTGCTTGCTTATGCCACACAGTAAGAATTTACACTTTTTTTTCATGACTTGTTTTTATCAGTACTTCATATGACATTCTAAAAGCAACAACAACAATGAAGCTGCAGTTATGAAGGTTTGGAAAAATGCCCATATTAGATCTTTAAATAGTATTTTA